TTATACAATGTTTACTTATTGAGTGCGTTGTTGTCCTCATATATGTCAGATGTTGTTGACTTGGTGACATAATGTTCGTTGATCTTCATTATTCGATTACAGAACACTATATTTGCGAGATTTCTTCACCTATCACATGATTGTTTTTCCACACGTTCTCGTTTTTACATCCATATCGTTCAGATCCCCGATCTTCTGTATTTACATTCGCAATAATCACTAATAAATCATGTGAACACCATATTAAAATATAACAAATTATATTCTAAAATACATTCACGATATGAACAAAACAAACAATATCGTAAAATATTATCTTCTCAATAAAAGTTAACAAATATATTCCAACATTGCACAAATGAATACAAGTACATACTGGTAGATAACAGCACAAATATTATCTGATTTTATACACAGCAATTAATGTTACTCACATAAATGTTGACAAGGATCAAGTAATATTGAACGTTGAATACACGGCGTACGTCCATACTTTGAACCATAAGTAATTATTACCAGCATGGTGTAATGAACAATTTATAGTAATTAACATCCAATGAGAGAGTACATATGGTAACTGTGTTACAGAAATGGGAATACTAATTCTAGCAGGAAATACTTAAGAAAGAACAATGTGCTTATTTCATTGTTGTCCCTTGGGGTACATATATCCTTCTAACTGACATTATTGCGTATTGTATCATGCGTGTCAGTTATACTCCGTCTAGTGGTTTACACTCTCATTTTAACTGTTCAAATCCGCACTATAACTTTGGCTTGGTTTTATTTCTACTTTATGAAAACGAAACAGTACAATCATTCTGCAGAGCATTAACATACAGGGTAACATAAATTACATGTGAAATATTAAAATAAAATGAGCGACCGTACTTTTTCTCGATGGATTCAAATATTCTGAGTATTGGTGATATTATGATCATATCACATATGGATAATAAAGAGCAATATATTAAAAGGAATAATTTAATATGCAAATCACACTCCCTCATTTTAATTTAATGGAATCCTATAAATGATAGAAACGGAAGTAAACACGATATTCATGTGTAATGCCGCGTGAAGTCACATTTTTTTAATATTGATTGTTAAACAACTAAGTTAGAGGAAAAGTCAAGCCAAACAACATAATCGATCACTGGAAGCAAAGTTATTGTTGCATCAGACTTATGATCGACAGACCCAAGTCTAAATCCTACATCAGGCTGAGCATAAAAAAGGGTCGACCCTGCACTGGGTAAGTGTGCCACATATTCAATGGTCAAAAATGCACTATGTGTGCTAGCACAAGCACTTGCAGCCTGCACATACAAAAAAAGTCAGGAGAGACAACAGTGACATTCAATATCCTGAACTGTCACTGGGCACAAAAACATTAAAAAATGAATGAAAGAGCTCTACAAATGCAAATTATAGATTTGTTTATATCACGTTCTGGTTATAAGTATTACGTCGTCCGCCATCTTGATTCTCAGGCAAAGCTTTATGGGTAATGTCATATATCTTTATGACAGAGAATCACACACAGTCATTAACTGTAGTCTATTCCATCAAACTCACTCTTCATACCCGAAGATAAAAAAACGACGTTGTATGCTGCTGTTATTGGATATACATACATTTGTTCCCGTTGATAAAACAACTTACGGTGTAACATATGCACAAGTGAAGTGATTGTGAACAAGTGAAGATCAGTTAGCAGCATCATATTCACTGTTGTGAACAAATGAGTAAATGATTTCTTTTAAAGCGGGAGGGTCGTCACCTGCGCACGCTCGGGAATTGAGTCCCGAACGATGATAACAACACACGCTAAAAACGCAAAGGTTCATGGGTAGACGTTTGTTTGTAAACAATTACACGCTTAGGCCACCGCTTTAATTGCATCACTGATGACACTCTATCATCGGTCATATGACCACACATTGACATTTGACCACAGTGAACGTGATGCATGATAGTCACAACAGGCATGAATGATCTGTTATTTAGGTGAGTCATTTTTGACTCCGTGTGCGAAGCACACAATGGAGTGTGTGTGTGTGTGTGTGGGTGTGTGTGTGTGTACTTGGATTGCTATATGTTGCGAGGACAAAAATACAGATATATAGCTACTTCCGAGGACATACACACCTTCCGAGGACCTTTTTCATAGTCCTCGGAAAACATAATTTATATTAATAGTTAATTCGATTATTAATACGTT